TCTACCAATAAAATATAACTAAATATTTATATCATGATAATATATAATAAGATAAATTATTATATAATTATAATAACTACAACAAATTTAATTAAATTATCATTATTCTTAGAATATATAATATTTAATTAAATCAATACTCATGCATATTTAAGAACTATTATTAATCAATTTAAACCTAATATTACTATATAATCTCTTATAAATAATAATAATGAACTAGAACAATGTTTACTTTATTTATGAATGATAAATACAATCCACTAGAATAATGAAAAATTTACAGAAAGCAATTTCTGATTTTATTAATCATGATACATAATTATCTTGCTATTTAGACAATTAGTATTTATATAAACAAGTATTTTTTATTATAGAACTCACAATTTCTAAGTTATATAATTGATTAGATCCTGATACTATACAAGCTTTATATTTAAAAAGTTGAACAGCTAAAAAAATTGGTGAAAATAATAGTTAAATAAGAAATAATAGTTAAATAAGAAATAATAATGAAAAAAAGAATTTGTCTGAGTATATTAAATATGAACATTTTAATAATATTGATAGCTAATAAATATATAAATGATAAAAATCATATTTTATATAATAAATCATAGTTAAACTGAACTGAGAAGTTTTTAAACCAAATCAAACTGAACTAAACTAATAACAATCCTAATTACTAAATAATTATATACATAATTTTTGTTATAAATAAATTTTTAGATTATTTAATAAGATTAATGAGTAAATAAAGTAATTTACAATCAAATTTCAATATAACAAAACTGAATATAATAAAATTCTTGATATAACAAAAGAAAAAAAACTTTGTTTTAAAATTATTTCTATATAATAAAGTTTTATAAGAAAACTTTATGTGAAAAAATTTCTAGCTCAAAAAATTTATTATATTGTACATAGTAAAAACCAATTTTTCTTGATCTTCTTTGCTCTGTTTAGAGTAAAGTATTTTTTTGTGAAATCACCTAACAATTAATTATAAAAAAATCATCTGATTTTGCATATTTAATTATAAAAATCATCTAATTCTGCATAAAAAATCATCTGATTAACAAATTACAAAAAAAATATACTCTACCCTTTATAATATACCACTCAAGGTAAAATTTTGTCGAAAGCTCTCATTCAGGTGCAGCTGGTGAATCACTTTTCATAACAAGAATTTGCAAATTGGAGAATAATCAAACAAAAGTAGACAAAATGGATGCCGATTTCAAAGGTGTTGTATTCGTATTCTATAGGAAGACGTTATTTTTCCACATTCTATATATCGTTTTGTTCGCGGAGACCCAGGTAACAACTTTATTTAATCGAGACTTTAGACGAAAAATTCGAAAATGCGATTACATCGATTTTTTAAATTGATCGACATCATATGGTTCAATTTTTACATGTGACAAATCGTGTGACTGTAAGTGCAACGTGCGAGTTAAACACTTTTATTTAAAAGAAAAAGTTAAAGAGAAAAATGCTTAATCGTACTACTTCAATGTCCTTCATGTTTTTCTGATTACTGATTATTTGATTGACCGACTGACTAGTTATTTCGACTAACTACTTGGCATTCGTGAGATAAATACGTGTGTGCTATATACGCAACAATACTCATCTATCGACTTGTTCTAGAACAAACGTACGCGTAGCAATCACTAAATGCTAGATATAAAATATATGCTAAAAAAAATAAATTTCGTCTACTAATACGACGATACCGATGCAAAACTGCAAAAAATGTTCTTGATTTTGAAGGATATTCCCTATTTTATATTCTAAACAAAAAGATGGGATCATCCTTTCATATATAGATAAAGTAAAATAAAATGAAATTAAAATGAAATGAAATGAAATGAAAAAAAAAATAAACAGTTCCTTGATTAAAACATTTAACAATAAAATGCTAATAAGCCTATTACTTTTCGCCAGGGACAGGGGAAAAAGATAATAAACAAGGGCGAAAAAAATAGACCCGCAATCAAAAATAGCAGTAATAATAAAATGACTTGATATGTGTATTTAGTTAGACAGCTATATATATGTTAGACACTCGGTTTTCTTCTTTCAGCCTCAAGTCGACTATACAACAAATAAAGTGCCATCTGATTTGACTCAGGAGTTCCGGTGATAGTGACCAGGCGTTCATTTGTATTTCCGTGTGGCTCGGCAATTTTAATATGTGAACCAGAGAGGTGTCTGATCTCATTGATTTTGCTACCACCTTTGCCGATAATACATCCGACCATATCGTTCGGGATAAAGATTTGTTGTGCTTGGGATCCTGGTGGTGGTTGATTCATAGGACCTGGAGGTCCGGGCAGAAAATCGCGTCCATAAGGTGGAGGAGGAGCAGGGATTCCCACATAGAATGGATGATTACTAGCAACAGCAGCAGGTTGATGGTAAACAATACGCGGTTGTGGTCTATACGGAGTTATTTGTCCACCACGATCATTTGTGTGTCTAGACAGTTCCTCGCCAACGTGGAAAACTGCAATATGAATAGAATCAGGGACACCAGAAATGGAGATGGTTCGCTCTGTAGAACTGGGTAACATCTCTTCGGATGCAAGACACCTTGCTCCGGATTTTTCCTGGATTTCTTTGATTTTTGAACCTCCTTTACCAATCACTGGTCCCATGCGTGAATGAGGAACGAGGAGGCGGATTGTTGTGGATTTTGAGGTAGGAGTTGAAGGCGCATCCAGATTCTCATCAAGAACTTTGCGTGCTACTAGAGCAAATGCCTTAAAATTATGGAATATTAGATAACATTCAAAAAATAAAATTTCGAGTAAAGCCAATCAATCCACATTCAATATAGATCATTTGAATATATGATAGCATTGAATCGTATTTTTTTTAAAAAAAAACCATGAAAAAAGAAAATCAAAGGAATTATTAAATCGATGAAAATTAAGGAGAAATTATACACCAATCATTAAATATAAAATAAATACCTTTGCAACTGTGTCCAATGGACCAGTCACCGTCAAAATTCTTTCATAGGCACCCTGGACCATCTCGGATATGGTGACTTTAGCACCAGATCTATCCCGAATCTCGCTCACATTTTTTCCCGCTTTCCCGATGATAACACCAGCCTCTTTAGTGGTGACCAGAGCGCGAAGAGAAATGGTTTGTAGAGCGGTTTCTGGCTCGATAATCTGGTTCGGCTTTTCTTTTTGTTCAGGTCCGCCCCTTTCTGAAGGAGGAGTATTAACATCCATTGCTTCTGCGGATGCTGAAGGAGAAATAACGGCTCTTTCCTCACCGTTAGTTTCTTCTTGAAAGGCTAACTCTGAATTTTCGTCGTCCTCTCCCCCAGAATTATTCAACGCTGGTCGCTTAAAGCGTCCTCTACCTTCGTCAAGACTAAGATCGTCCTCTTCGTCGTCAGAAGGAAGAGACCGTTTTCTTTCTGAGGGGGAGGGAATGGTGTCTTCAGCTCGGTCAGACATTCGTAAGAGGAGTGGGTAGGAGGGTAGGTAATGTGGGTGTGGTGGAGGATACTAAGGCAAACTGCAAAAGGAAGAGTGTTGGGGGTGTGAGCATTACTTATATTGGGCTATATATTAATAAATATTTTAGATATTGATAGACGACGACGACGAAGAAATAAATTTCAAAGATAGCATATTGTATATATTCATGTTATATAATATATAAATATTCGATTGAAACTTTCTCCCGTCGCATTATTATCATTATTATTAAGTGTAGAACGAACTCTATGAAAGAAATTGAGATAAAAGTGAAGAACCAAAAAAAAAGGAGAAAGAAAGCAAGTTGGACAGGGACGGTACCAAAAGCAAATTTTACTGAATTGTAAAGGGTTGCGAGGAAAAGGTAGAGGTTGAGAGGTTTTCCTTGCAACTATAATACTAGTGTTAGTTCTCTTGTCCTTTAAATGTAGTTTCAGAGGTAGTAGTATTGATAGAGTGGAGATTGGTAATTGGCAATTATTAACGTGAATACAGCAGACAAAGCGTTGGTTGGTGTGTATGTGAGTGGTAAGAGTTAAAGGGGAGCTTTTTGTAACAGTTTTATTTAGTATTTATCTACAAATATAGTGATGATAATAATAGTATAATGATCTTTTTTTTCTTCTTTTGAAGATGTTGTCGCTGTTTGAATGAATGGATGTCCCCTCATTATTGGGGGTTCGATTATGTTGCCCTCGTTTCGCTTTGCCGAAAATTAACCAATGAGAGCGATGATTGATTGATGATTATGACCTTTTATGCTTATTAGTATTCGAATCAGATGAATTATGGAGATTATGTCAAATTTAAGTTTAAATTTTTAGATTGTGATATGGAGAAAATAAACAAACTATGATGGTGAGGAAGATGATGCAGGTACTGACATATGTATGATGAAGGTGTATGAATGACAGAACCATCTGAATCATGCCAAAAAAAGTTTAGACCACGAATAAAAAAAGAAAAACAACAATACCTTTCAATCCGTTATCCCGTCCGAAGCGATGCATATCGATATTTTTGGCGAAAACCAACCACCACCACTTTTTTTTGAAATCGAGAGGGGCACACATGCCATCAATGTGGTGTTCAGGGAGAATGATTAACCTATAGCATTAACACATGTACAGTTTAATTTTGGCTGGAGACTTTAGCATCATGCATTTGGGGGTTGGGGTGGAGGTGGGGGTGTGATGTCGGTTGATCAACAAATCTAAGAACCAATAATAAGGATTACCGTTGTCAATCATTTTCATTCATAGTTATATATTAGGTAGTTTTATAGCGAGACTATTAATAAAATACTTTCGGTGCTTCTCTATAATTTAATGTCAAGTTATCAAGTAGAACAGAGAATTATTAAAAAAAACTATAATCGATACGACACCAAATTCTAAGATTTTTTAAGAAAAGATTTGCACCACCAAACTAACGTCACATGACGAGAAATTTAGATTTTACGTAGAACAACGCGCTTTTTTCTATCCTTAAACGATGAAACTAACACCTGAGCTCATCGAACGCTCGTCTAGTCACATAAATGCTGTAAAAGACCGAGAACTCGATTTACGTGGTATCCTTTAAAAAGTAGTTACTATGAATTACTGTTCCTATTTTTAATAGGATTGCTGGGTAGGGATGATAGATAATACATCAAGATACTTCAATTGACTTGACTATTTTCTAATCTAAATGTTTATTTGATATTTTTTTGGCTTTAATTTGCTACCATTGAAAAGCCTGTGATGATTTGATTTCAACTTAATTTGATTTTGAATTTCATATATTGCTCCTTAACTTTGATTTCTGCTCTAACGAATAGGTAATAAAATACCCGCCATTGAAAATCTCGGCGTCACAAAGGTGAGAGATCCATCATCTTCAATTATGTATTGAAAATAGCCATTTAAAATAATGATCCGATGGGAATTCAACAAAAAGGACCAAAATGACACGATCGATATGACGGACAACGATATTCGTGTACTAGGCAACTTCCCTCTTCTTAATCGCATCAAAAGCCTCTTACTAGCAAACAATCGAATCACCAGAATCGATCCACAACTTGCCGAATACTTACCGAACTTAAACACAATGATTCTCACCAACAATAATATCGCGGAGCTGACCGATCTTGAACCGTTAAACAGATGTCGTAGATTACAGTATGTTAGTTTGTTGGATAATCCTGTTACTCGAAAGAAGTATTACAGGAATTGGTTAATTTGGAAGATTCCAAGTTTGCGAGTATTAGATTTTAGAAGAGTTCGTAAAGCGGTATGTGTTTTTTTCTTTTGATTCACTATTATCGATATATTAAGGAGGATAATGTGACGATGATGGTTTAGGAGCGTGAAGAATCAAATAAACTATTCGAAGCGCCCGATGGAGAATTAACTTCATTAGCTAAATCGATATCCGAGACAATATCAAAGACGTTTGAGCCTGGTGAAGGATTGGGAAATATAAGCGGTGGTGCATTACTGCCAAAATCTAATTTACCTACTCTCGGAATTACTCCCGAAGAACAAGCAAAAATTCAGGTCTATTCTTTTAGTTTTCTCCAAAAAAAAAAGATTGTACACCGATTTATATTTATTATTTGTAACCTGTTGAGTCACATCTATTTTTTTTTGTTTACAGGAAGCGATTAAGAACGCACGAACTTTGGATGAAGTTAATCGTCTCGAGAAACAGTTACAAGCTGGACAAATTCCTGGCACTTCATTGCAAACATCAGGGAGCGGTGATGGCAATGTTCAAGAGATGGAAGAAGATTAAGCATTTATATATTGTTATTTCTTGATACCTATATATTAAAACTAGAAATATAATAAAGCTCGTGTGGCTAATGTAAATAATTTTTAGATTTTTGATATTATTGTCGATCAGGATAAAAATATTGGCTTATTAAATTCCATTTCATTGCTGCTAACCATGCTTGCCAAAGTACCGCGTTTAGCTCGTCATTGTTTTAACTCTTCATTCAAAAGTTTACAGGTACAATTACCTTGGCAGGCGAGAACAAACACAGTTTTGGGAGCACTATTATTATGTAGAAGAGGGTTATCATGGCAGACAAAAGATATTTTATGCTCAAATAGTTTTATTAGGTGCAGGAGCAGTATCTTTAATGATAAATCCAGGAATTCATCAAACATTTGGGGGCTTAACAAGTACCTTATGAGTGTGCTGGTACAAAGGCATTACAATATCAATAATAGTTGCAGTAAGAGCATGAGCAGTTCTGTAGATACAAGCAAAGAACGCGAAACAACTCCTAACTATGTAATTAGGTAAGAATTGAATTATTACGATGATTTTATAGTATCGCTAACTGGCTTAATACGAATACGCGCATACGAGATAGCGAGTTATCAGCCGATACGTATCATCGAATCTCAGAAGAAACGATGGAGAATATATTAGAGTATCTTGAGAATTTGGGGGATGAACTCGATAACGTTAAAGATTATGATGTTGAATATTCGGTGAGTTTATCATTTTTTACATGTTCGTTTGTTTCATTGGGAGAGTGAATGAGGTTATGGGATTGAATCTATGGATATTAGTGAAGTTTACCTCGTTATTAATGTGCTGATATCTAATGGGCGCGGTGTCTTTTCAGAGTGGTGTATTAACGCTGAAATGTGGATTAGCTGGTACATACGTGATAAACAAACAACCCCCAAATAAGCAGATTTGGCTGTCATCGCCACTAAGGTATTTTTTGCTTATAATAATTCTTATTGTTTACTATGTGTGGATTCTTATTTTCGTTATGTTTTTCTTCTACGAAAAGTGGTCCAAAACGATACGATTATGATCTGGCGACACAAAAATGGTTCTATCACAGGGACAACACGACATTATATGATCTATTGAATGAAGAGTTGTCAAAGATATTTAATAGAAATGTTAAAGTGTCAGACTAATTAGATTCATATAAATACGTATTTTAATGAACTAATTATTAAATCCTAATAATTTGGGCTTGTAATGCTGGCTAAAATTAATTTGCATACCAACGGATCGTTCCAAAATTAAACACCCAAAAATAAGCACCGACTTATTTTACCCCATAATTCTTTTATTCCCGAAAATAAGCACTTCCCACTTGAAATGTGTTATAAAAACCTGTACTTATTTCCGAGAGAATACGGTAATTGGCTTGGTCTAGCCTAAATTCATCTTCCGCTTCAAAAATTCTCCAACTCAAAGAAGTATCGTGGCCGCTCAGGCAAGCCGTTCCTCAACAATCCCGCAATCTTCCCCTCATATATTCGGTCAGCCAACTAGGTAAGACTAGAAGAGAAATTCGAACCAGCGGGGGGGGGGGGGGGCATTGATGTTGATAAGATTAAACTCGGAAATCACGGCGAGAAAGCTGACTTGGAGCCCAACCTTATCGCTTAAGAACATCTATCCAGGTGATCGTTCGTGTTGTCATTACCCAGACCTTTCCTCTCGAGCGATGGGTGGAAAAATATATGTATGGTCTTGTCAACTATTGATTTATAATTTTAATCATAATTCATTTATTTTATTCTATTACAGCAAGATTTTGCGAATGGTGCTGTCGCGCATAACAGTGGAAGCAATTTTAGATGCTGTTGATCGATATTTTCTTCTCAAGTGTTGCTCTTTTGAGTTCATTGGGGATTGGATCGACTGGTGCAAAGTTGTCGAGCAAGTGTGACTTAAGACAAACTTATCATGGCTCGGGAAATTCACTTCTAATTAGATATGATCGTTTGGTGCGTGAACTTTGGGTTGAATTGCGCCAGGTACATCTAGATTATTGTTGTTTATATACCTATACCTTCCAAAAGAAAACTAACGCATTGTTACAAGGACTACATTTTTCAATAGACATCGATCGAAATATTGCGGTTAATCCGGTGCTACAGCGAAGAACCTCCGACCTAATGTGATAGTGCGAATTAATGGCGTTCTAATGTTTAAGGCAGAGGAAAAACACTTTTCATTGGAAATGGGAAATGCAGAACAGGAACAGGAACTGCTGGATAAAATTGAATCATTGAATACTGCAATGTACGGCAAAATTCCCTACATTTTTTCATATGCTGCAGCGCAGAACCTTTTCCGTTTCTATGCAATAACGGGGAAAGAAAGCAGAATCCCAATTTCAGAATGCGTGATTTGTCAACACCCTTGGAGGAATTCATGGCAAGCTTAGGCTTAGACTGTATACGTTTCTGGCTCATCTTAAATCAATTGACACACTAGGTTTTTGTTTCGTCATTCAACCTATTTCGGATGATAGTAACATCGAAGCATTATATCTGATCGACGCGATACACCCTTGTGTAAAGAAATTAAAGAAATAGCAATATTATCGGAGGATCGTGTGTTGAGGGAAATACGGGATTTTCAGAATTACAGGTAAAAGTTTTTCTATTCCCTTTTTTCCCCTGTCACTAGCTTCGATGTGTTTATAGTTGTAATGATCTTGGCACCTTGAAGGATGTCTATAGAGCTATCAGAGGTTCACCATGCTGTGTATTTGCAAAGGAAGGCCCGAAGCTAAAAAAAAAAAAACATGAAATCTGACAACTGTATGCAACCAACAAATGAAAATGAGTTACGTAGTATGGTAGAGGTAGTGCTTAATGCTTTACGTTTTCATGACAAAAGCATGTTTCACCCTCATTCACCCGTTTCAATATTTACTTATAAAATAATCTTAGTGACAAGGGTTCATCGTGACATTCATTGGAATTATATATTGGTACACAAAATAGCTGGTTGTTAGCACTCGGGACGTGATGGGGAGAAATCTCCTTTTTGGTTAGATCGTTGGCCTCAGATTGAATCTGAGAAGATTAAACAACTTTTGACGGAACAAGAATTACAGAGTTGTGAGGAATCATTTAAGCATAACTGGTTTTATAAGAATGTAAAGACCGAAGAATCCTTAAATAGTGTTTTGTTGACAATTTGCAAAAAAAGAATGCAAATTACTTTTGTTGTATGCGATAAAATCCTCTTACTGCAGGTGCTTGTTCATAAAATAAAAATAGCTAAGGCAGTAGATTTCCTTGTCATGTACTTTTTTTGTTTTTGATTTGTTATTGGATGCGCTTGTGATACGATTGTAGAGCATTAAAAAGGAATTAATTTTTATTGTTTATGAAATAATAAAATGATTGTTTTGTTCGACATATGTTTGAAATACAAATTAGTTTTGTTCTTGAATTACATAATGTATCTATTAAAAGACTTTCAAACTATATATACTTGTAAATATTAAAAAAAAAGGAATACATTTAAATAAATAATCCTACAGATGCCAGCTCCCCTTGTACACACTAACCAACCAAAAAAAATTAAATATAGAAAAAATGATACAATCAAAATTCTATCCAAAATTATTTGAATCCTACTTATTAATTATTAATGCTAACAATAATATCATTTTGCAATGCCCATTTGTAATCCAATAGGAACCTCATCATCTTCACTAGCACTATTTTCATCTCGACCAGAACCTTTTTTCTTCTCATCACGTAAAGTTCGTAATCGTTGTCCAATCGGAATCTCTTCACTTCCATTACTAATATTACTAGAATTACTAATTTCTGAGTTGGTGAGATCAAAAGCATTCAAAACCTCACCCAAGATTGATTCATAGTATCCCTCATTGTTACTACTACCTCCTTCATCTTCACTATGGGAAGAGACTCTCGGTTTCGATGACGATGATGAAGCCGGCTGAATTGTAGACATATTAAATGTGATAGTGCCACTACCATTTTTTGATGATTTTGTGGTCATATTTTTGGAATGTTTAGAGTCAAAAATTGGAACTGTCGGTGATTGTGGTGGTGATTTTTGTGAGGCAGCAGGAGATGCAATCATCGCTAGCGGTAATCGATCACTTAGTGGTTGATCAGATGAACTATCACTATCACCATCAGATAAGTTTGATTCTGAATGATCTCCATCACTTTGTATTTTCTTTCCATGTTTCTTTGCCCGTTTACTTGATGATCGTGATAATGTTGAGGTTGAAGGTCGACTATTATGTCTATTTTGACTCGTACTATGATTATAGTTGTTATTATTCGATGAAGCTAATTTTTCTTTTTCTTTTTCTGTTTTTGTTATTCCTACTGATTTCGACCGAACTAAATCTGCTAACGATGTTGTATTTGCTTCAGCCATTATCTTTTCAGCATAAGATTTTTTCTCATCACCTCGTTTTTTCTCTGTTTTGTGATCACGACTTGATGTGTGATGATTCTCACGAGTTTTAGATAGTGATCGGATTCTCCGTGGTTTATTTCGTTCTTCTCTCCGACCTTCTCTTTGTTCCTTTAGATTTTGTGAAGATGATTGTTTATGTGGACGTGTATCTCGATATTCTTTATCTCGATGATCTTTATCTCCTCTTGAAGATCTTATTGCTGTTGCTGATCTTGCAAGTGTCTTCTGATCGTGAGTCTGACCTCGCTCACGATCACGATCATCACGTCTTTCTCTATCTCGTTCTCTTTCATCTCTTCTATCCCGTTCTTCGCGTCGTCTATCTCGGTCTCTATCTTTTTGTTGTTCATATGATTTCACCGAACCTTTACGAGCTAAATCATTATTATTAGCAACGCGATGGACTGCCGCAGGCAATGTTTTAATATCTGCAACACGAGCTCTTTGTTTGAAGTCATTTTCCGCATCAGTAGTCACTTCGGATACACTTTCATCCATGTCTACCACGACTGATGTCATTGGTAATTGACTTCCCGATAGTCCGGATCCAAGATCTTTTTCTTGTTTTTTGTTACCATAAACTTCTATAGCTACGTTACCGCCTCCTCCTCCACCACTACCATGTGTATTCTTGTCATTTTTATCTTCCGTCGGTCTGTATGATTTATTTCTTTTTCCATCAAAGAACCCTCGAGGTCTTTTTTCATTATCGGTGGATGATCCAGAAGCTGTTCCTGGTATTTTCGATATTAATGATCGATGACTAACGGCTAATTTATTACCACGTTTCATCGGACCCAATAAAGTGGCTCCTGAGTCCCTAATATTACCATTACCACCACTATTGCCATGTGGAGTAACAATGTCAGTGATTTCTGAGTTGTCACGATACTTATCGTTTGGATTATGTCGTCTCCATAAATAATAAATTCCACCAGATAACAAAACTGCAGCAATCGTTCCAACAATAATCGCCACATATTTCGGCCATTTGCCCAAGAAGCCCAACGAAATATTGTCATCATCTTTGGACGCGGCCACTTGATCAGAACAGAACTTTTGTTGTTGACAAGACTGACCGGCTAATGTCAAGGCGACTGTGGGTGTGCCAGAATTGGGACTTGTTAGCGTGAACGAGGCAAAAAATCGTTCATAGTTTTGCGTGTCACATTCATATCCGTTCTGTCCTTGTTTTGTGCATGCGATTGTGGCGAATGGTGAGGTTGGGTCTCCTTGAACCACGTATTCCGGGGGGAATTGGACAAGTGCATGATAAGAATTGGTTTTTGCTGCTGTTGCACTTGTACCACTTACATTTACTTGTAACAGTTGTCCTGGTAATATGTCAGACACTACTTGATAGCAGCATTGCTCTAATAATAATGGTAAATTGAAGGAGATACTCGATTAATTACTGAAATTAGCTATCATGTTCAACTCAATAATAACGCTGTCTCATACGTAATATAATCGTTCCAACATCCCATGTGAATAATGCATAAATAAATTTATACAGAAGATATATACAACCTCACATGACCAAGAATATTCGTGTAGTTTGATTGAATTTTTTCTATTTCACTATCGCATTCCCTCCAATGTCATTCATCATTATGATCAGAAAAAACTTACGTGCATCAACCGTCAACAACAATATCCCGACAAAGAATAAGATTGATCTAACCAATGATAACCATTGATCTATGCATTTTCTCATTTTCTCTACTATATATCTACTGAAATATTTTCGTTTTTCGTCGACCAGAACTACCGAAACAATCTCATGTTAGTAATTGGACAAATGAGTTTTGCATTGATATATATAAAATTGGAAGTTGACATACATTTTTTATATAATAGGTCGTGTGCGGGTGGCGAATATTATCTGTTATCATATAGAAATAAAATCAGCAATTATTCTTATTAAATTATTTTGAATTATTGTTGCAATGGTTTTTCTATTTGTCCAATACAAAATATCTAAGGTGTAAAAATGGAAAAAGAATTAGTAAAAGTAAGCACATGTACAAGGGACGGCGAAAATTAAGAAATAAACTTTAACCAAGAATATGCGTATTACCTTTGTTTGATATTTACTTCAAGAAAGAGAAATGAAATGACAAAATGTACACTCACACATGAGACACGACACAAAACTATCTCTCTTGTAATATGTATTATATAAAAAGAAGAAAAGGTAAAAAGTGGTCGTTATCTATTGTTTTTTATGTCTTTTTGGAAGATATGAAATATATAGCAGTTCTGCAGGAAGGTGCGAGTGTGTGGTAGGCACGCTACCAGCAGCAAGTAATAATACCAATAAGCAGGCAAGTGTTTCAAACACAATGTAAAAAGAGAAGAGAGCGAAAATGAGCCGTGTGTGAAAGAGAAGAAAGAGAAGTTGTTAAGGGGTGGGTGAAATGGGGGTTGAATGTAAAAAAGGGCAAAGGGAAAAAGAAAAAAACGAGAGAAGAAATAACTTGTTCATGTAATTTGTATATTTTAAAAGCAAATTCTCGTATTCTCGTATACGACCGTTATTACACTAACTCTAACCTTTTCTATAGTGGGTAAAAAAATTAACTAATTATAGTAAAACGATAACCGGTTTTATCATATTCGGTTGGACTATAACGATAATTTTCGGTGATCAACCGATTTAACTAGCCAAAAATTATCAAGAATGGGCCAAATCTAAATTGTTTTGGGAGTCAGAAAGATCATGGAATTTTCCGAAATCTCCGTAAACCGTAAATATCCAAACTTCTTGTCTACAGAAAAGGGTAGTTTTTCGCGAGATGAATGTAGCGAGACATGGTTTTGAAACCAAATATTTCAGCATTAATATTATAAATTTCCGAAAGACGATATTGATTTCCAATTTGAAATCAGAAACAAAATGAAAATTTGAAATTGAAATTGAAAACGCAAACGAACTCCATGTATACTCATTCAACGACAAAATATTTAGACATACAAACAAGCAAAAACAAAACAAGGTACATGCATTATGACCCTTACTCGTAAACTATTGAAAATATAGACACAACGACAAGGTTTGATGAATAAAAATTCGTGGAGAGATTTCGGAGGTTGGATTAATCCAATCCAAATCTCTGTGTGAAAAACTTTTTTTCCTGCGAATTCATTCTGAGATTTCACTGTCAACCAAAACAACAAGCACAAGTACCTTTCATACCATGAAAGGAAATCATATTATAAGAGGCAATGGCGATATCTCATAAATAAATTGCAATACATATCTTTTTCCCAATAATATTTTGATCAAATGGGCTCGCGAATGGCAAACATTTGGGAGATAAAAAGGTGCGATTATTTTACATATATCAATAACGATATACGCACATGTACATGTACTTAGGCGCGATAATGAAAATAGTCATTAGTGTCATTAGTGTTTCAACTTTGTGTTAACCTTGTGCTGCGAATAGGAACCAATTACGCATTTGTGAAATGAATTACTATCTTCGTTTTTCATTGGCTAACTTGATGTTCAACTACTTTATATGGAAGTTGCATTTATGTATTGTCTTATAATAACGATAAAGTTAGAGCCTTGAATTATCGAAAGTAAATGATTTAATTTTGTTCGTTCTTGCGAGATTTTAAATACATGTATATGTATTCAATGATAGTTGCTGTGAATTATTTTTCCGCTTGTTGTATCATGAAGCTACACATTATAACTTTATTATTAGGAATACAAGTAATTTGAAATTAAAAGAGCAAAACTGACCGTCGAAAAACCACTATCAATAAAAATAAAATAAAATTTCATAATAATGATGATATATCACATCTGAATAACCTTTCGACAACTATTTGCGCCACACTTGCACAAAATTTCCCCAGGTTGTAAGATCACATTATACGGATTCCAACTGCGATTCTTCTCCTTCATCAAATTCATTTCTTTTTTGTCGCGTAATCTTATATAATCAAAGGTCAGTTCCTCACCAGCTCTGATATAACGCCGAGAAAAGAACGCGATATTCGGCATATATATATTCGGGTTATCAGTCATCACCATATACACGACCAGGTTCGGATCACAGCTGTGATTAAAAAATCTCGTAACGTTCCCGTAATAGAACGCGTCGACAGTGTAATGTGCAGGTTCGATAAAGTCCAAATCAAAAAGATATGATTTACCCATTGTACTGTATTTTTCGGCCAATCGTTCCGATTCTTGTTTTGTGATTACATGTCCGGTGTATATGTCGATAAATGTGTTGGTTGGTATCTCGATTGACGATTTTACACCCCATCCGGTGATTTTAGTGTCGTATATTTCGAGAGGGATTTTTCTGCCATGTTGAATTACTCGGTTCGAACACTTTGAACCACATAAACAGGCCGAATTACATTCTTGGATTATTGTTGAGGGAATCAAGGTAGGCTTTCCTTTTATGTTGTAAATAAAACTATGAAATGAATAAGTAATTCAAAAATGATAATCAAAATATTTTTTTGTTATCTACCACCTTTATGATAATAAGGCTTATAATTATTCTCTTCCAAGCATTCACATCTATTGCCAGGTTTTCCACATTGACCTGGTTCACAATCGCATCCAATCAACACATCTAAATTAGGAGGACTGACTTCAGCTGAATACGTGAATCCGTCAATATAGAAAAAGTCTATGGGTCCATTGAAACCATCGTTGTTGCCTCGAATAGCTACTGGTACTTCAGTGCGGATAACATCGTTCTCAACAGGAACAATCAAGCTATTTGGGACAACGAATGACGACGATGATGACAACGATGTCGTGGCATCCGTAGCTGAAGTCGAGCTGGACAATGTTTCTCTTGTTTTATTAATATGCGTCGATGGAACTTTCAATTTGGAATTTTTTATTGATGTAGAAGGATCCTTTATCGTTTGCGTGTATGCATGTGTACGTAAAAATATATAATTATATATTTAAGATTTCTAATGGAATTTTCATACGATTATAATAATTAATTACCTTTTTAGGACATTGTTTTCGAGCGAAAAACAACTTTTCTTTCCCATTGATTCCATTATCAGTAAGTTTAGTGATAGCGTCATCATCGTCTGATATTAATATACGATAACTGCCCTTGTCAACAAAATATACTCCTTTAACGCCTTCGAGTTGAATTCGTTGTTGTGGCTGCTCTTGCTCCTGTTCCTGCTGTCCGTCCCATTCTTTTCTTTTTCCTTTACCTTTCTACATCATGAAAGAGTTAAAGAAAAAATTTTCTTGAACGCGTCTTTCGGAAAGGACGCGTCGATAAAAATAGTTAAAAAAATGATACTGACTTTACTTTTAATGACATCAATTTCGTTATCTACTTCACTCGTATTATTGTTATTATTATTATTATCATCGACATTGATATTGTTGATGTTGTTGTTAAGATACATGTTCGAGTCGGAGTCGTCTTCGTCTTCGTTATTGATGTTTTTTCTTTGGCTTTTGATGTTGTTATCGCGTAAATCATCATCATGATCTTCATCATCACTACTTATAACGATAACATCATCACTTCTATTTTTATGTTTATTATTAATGTTTGGTTTTAGTTGATGTTGATGAGTATCATTAATACCATTGCTAGATGCAAGTCGGTGACGGTTATCTTCTCTGATTGGTATATAGACTTCAGGATATTGTGCTGGTTTCTTGCTCATCTTAGCATATACATGTGTGTGTGTGTGTGTATATATATATATACAGTATATTTATTATTTATTTGTGTGATGGTAAAATATGATAAGACAAAAATTATTAATGATAAATGATTTTGTCATTAAGAAAAATTCAAGACTAGCTCGAAGTTAAAATACACGTTCTCTTAAAGTTGGTAGACAAAAAAAGAATAATACTTGTTAAGAACAAAAAAAGAGAAAGAGAAAACAAAAATTTTTAGTAAAAATAATTGTAGGTGGCAAATAATAATACTGTTATCTGATTTCTTGTTGGTAATTGGTTAATATAAATATATTCTATTTGTCTGTGTAACAATATTTTTACTTCTTATAGAAATGATCATCGTTAGTAATTATAGGACGTGAAAGTAAAATAATTGGTGTGATAATTCCAAAAATTCCGTTGTATTACTGAATATCATTTCCAGTATTTTAATAAAATTAAAAACTTTTATATAGAGAAAACTTGTATTTTTCATATTTTATTAATAATTTTTTTGATTATTTTATTTTTTATAAAATTTTTTTGGCATATTTTTGCATATTTATTTCTAATTTTTATAAGTTTAATTTGTTTTATTTCTAAATTAAAATAAAAATATAACATTTTTAAATATAATTAAAAATTTCTAATTTTTATTTATAAATTGTTCAAAATATTTGATTTATTTTATAATTAATTTTGTAATTTTATTATAAAAATTTTATATTTTCAGAAAGAAAAAAATTTGTTATTAATAATTAAAGATAAAATATTAGTTTATATTTTAACACTTTTTTCTTTTTGTATCTTGATATTATTTCTTTAAAAGTATTAATTTTAATAGCATCAACTTTTGTTATTGAATAATTTTTAAATATATTTATATTATTATTTTTATTTAATATTCTATATAATAAGTGTGAAAGATTTTATAAATGAATATTATTGTTATTATTAAGATAAATATTTTAGAGTTAAATACAAGTTATTTATTTATATATTCTATTTATTATAATTATTACTCAAAGTTTTTGAATAATAAAATAAAAAAGAAGAATATTTATAAATATGATTACTCAATTAATAACTTTTTATATTAGTTATAATATACTTTTAGTTTTTTATTATCATATTATTTTAGTGATAATATAACTTTAAATATATAATAATTAAATAATTACTTGTAAAATAAACAAATATTTCACTGCACTCTGTCACAGTTAATTTTTATTATTTTTAATTTTCTTAAAATTAAGATTTTGAACTCATTTTCTTTTATAACAAATAAAATAGTTATAATTAAAATTATTAATTATTAATAGTAATAATAATTGATTATTAATAATCAAATTTTTGAATACAAATACTAAATTAATCATTTGTCTATAATAGATATTATATATTTATAAACTTTCAATCTATTACTTTAAAATAGCTTAATATTTAATAATAATATCTTGATATTTAATAATTTAATTCTTATAAAATATTACTATTTAATTCATTTTGACAAATAAATCAAATTATTAGAGTATCAAAATATTATTTTTTAAATTTGTCAATTTGAGCAAAAATATTATTATTAATTTATTTAGTCAAAATGAATTAAATAATAATATTTTTATTCAAACTAAATTATTGAATATTAAAAATAAAATTATTAAAATAACTAATTATATTTGATATACAAGTACATAATATCTGATATAAAAGTTTAACAATCTATAAAAGATATAAATAATTAGTATTTGTATTATTTTTTGTATTATTACTATTAGTAATCTTTATAGATAAAAATCTTTACTATATAGTAGATAGTGACTATATGTATATGAAAAAATAGACAAAATATAATATTATTTTTTAATATTATTATATATTAATTAAAATGCTAAAAGATTTACTAAAAATTTAATTCATATAAAAAATTTTTTTTAATTATATCAGACAAAAATTCAGTTTTTTATATTGTTATTATTTTATATGATTTAAGTTATTTATGTATTTATTCATGCATTTTTATTAACTTAAAGATAAGAGATATTAAGTTTTTATAATAGGAGAGACTGAAAACTATTATTAAAGATAGATAATATGTATTTATATTATGACAAACTAGAATAATATTCAATAACTTTACTAAGTTTTACATGTTTATTTTAGAACTTCAAAAGTTATAATATTGTCATCATTTGATATTTTGGATCACATATAAAATATTATGTAACATAATTTTGATAATTATTTATATTTTTTTTATATTTTTTTATTTATAATTTTATTTATAATTATTTAATTTATCTAATTTACATATGATTTATCAAAAACACCAATTAATTCTTTTTAATATTATATTATTTATTTTATTATAATATTATTGGATCTAAATCTATTTTATTTTAATTAATTTCGTTTAATATTAATTAATATAATACTAATATTACTCTAATTTAAATTGTATCACTTAGATTAAATTAGTATTACATTTATCATTTCTTGACATTATACTTCTTTCAAATTAATTTTATAATTATTTTTAAGTAATATTACTGTTACAGCAATTCTGAATAATGAGTTTCACTGAGAATCACTATAAGTATATGATGTTGGGAGAGAAACAATTAAATTTAAGTAAAGAAAATGAATTATAAATATTAGCAAAGGTTTCTAAGGCCTGTACCAATATCTATAGATATTGTGTTTAAAGATCTAAATTATAAAAGTAATTTAAAAAAAGGTAAAAATATAAAGAAAAGAATAAAATAAATCAAAAAATTTATAATAATTAATAAGTGAAGCCACTATTAATCAAA